ATAAATAAAAATGCAATATTCACTTGTGGGATTAACATAATCCCAGCAACTACAACTCCCAAATGACAAAATCAATTTTTTTAGTGGTGGTCACTCTTGGGTTAGTAGGTGTCTTGTAGCCAAATTTGGTGTCAATTTGTCCAGTGGTTTTTGAGTTATGTTAATCCCACAAATGAACATTACATTTTTATTTATTTGTATTTCTGTACTTTGGAATGAAAATGAATTGTTTTAAAAAAGGAAAGTGCATTAAATTGTCCGTGTAGATGGGGCCATAAAAGGGTTGGGTGTGATTGAGGCCCCTTCCACACAGCTGAATAAAATCCCACATTATCTGCTTTGAAATGGGATATATGGCAGTGTGGACTCAGGGCCGTTCCACACAGTCCTGTATCCCAGAATATCGATGCAGGAAATCCATTATCTGAGTGTGGACTCAGATTACTCAGTTCAAGGCAGATATTGTGAGATTTTCTGCCTTGATATTCTGGGATATAGGATTGTGTGGAAGGGCTCTAAGAGGGAATGTGTGTGAGAATATCTGTATGTGAGAGAAGGAGGGAGGGTGTGTGAATGAGTGAGTGAGTGAGTGAGTGAGTGAGTGACACAAAAGAAGAAGGGTGGGGTGTCTGGGAGGTACAGTTCTCAAATTAACTTTCCTGCACCCTGCCTTTGACACTTCTTAATCACTTTCTTTCTCCTCCTAGCTTTGTGGTTCAAGAGCCTCCTTCACGACTACGCTGAGGCCTGCAAAGAAGTGGTCCAAGGCATCCGGAACCGTCCAGGACGCGCTGGGCTCTACGCCTCGCTTCTGGCCGGAGCGGTGAGCTGCAGCCTCCGCAGCCCCTGTGACACCTCCTTTGAGTCCAGCTTGCTGGAAGCCTCGGGCGTCCTCCTACTCCTCTCGCCCTGGAACCGCAGCACCACCGCTGAAAGTCATGTCCAGCGGCTGCTGAAGCTGAAAAACCAGGGCCAGCTGCGCTTCCAGAACCTGCTTTTTTTCTCCCTCATCTATGAGGTCCCTTTCGACGAAGGCGCGGACCTTTACCAGGTGCACTGCAAGTATCTGGAGCCCCGCTGGGCTGAGTTTCCGGGACGCATCCTTGATGTGGGCTTCTGGGGGCGCTGGTGGGTTTTGCACTCCAAAATGCAGGATTCAGACATCAATGAGGAGGAATTTCGGCATCTGCCAGAGCATCTTCGGACAATTTCTTTTCATAACTTACACTCAGAAGCCAATGAGAAACTTTTTGATGAGAAGTACAAACCTATTTTTCTGACAGAGGAGCAAACCCAATAATCTGAAAGAGAGAATTGCCTGTTTAGCATCTCCATAAAGGTCTGCTATGAATTGCCTGTTTTCTTCTAGGAACCTGATGCTCATTCTGCTGTTCTTATAGACATATTTAGATGTGGGCAAATAAAAACTACCTGTACCTTAAAAATGGCAAAAAAGTGCCATGTTGATTCTGCTTCTTCTCATTCCGAACATTAGTAGTCCTGAGTTCTGTTGATCTTGATCATCCTGCGCTCCCGGTGGCGCAGTGGGTTAAACCCCTGTGCCAGCAGGACTGAAGACCGACAGATCGCAGGTTCGAATCCAGGGAGAGGTGGATGAGCTCCCTCTATCAGCTCCAGCTCCTCATGCGGGGACATGAGAGAAGCCTCCCACAAGGATGATAAAAACATCAAATCATCCAGGCGTCCCATGGGCAACGTCCTTGCAGATGGCCAATTCTCTCACACTAGGAATCACTTCTGACGCGACCAAAAAAAATCCTTTTTGTTCTTTATTGCTTCTGAATACATTGTTATTCTCTCGCTTTGTATGCACCAGGACAGAACAGAAAAAGCATCAAGAGACACTGCATAATCTAAACCTTGCAAACTTAAAAATCCCTTGTAATTTCTCTAAATTCATTAAGGGCACAGGAAAGATGCACTGTAGAATACAGTATATAGAATACAACAACAACAATTATCATCATCATCTTTATTTCTAGACTGCCCTCTCTCCCCAAAGGGAATCAGTGTCATTGGAGATGTGCTCTAAGAGTACTTCCTCGCCTTCCTATCATCCCTAACATATCAGTATTTATTTCTGTAGATTTTTCTCCAAATGCCTGATCACTTTTTTGACCCATGTTTCCTCCCTTATAGTAATTTTGCTATAGGTGTATCTTTGATGGAGGAAACACGGATTTTATGGATTCACAAGTTCCAGTCTGCAGTACAGTATACAGAAGAAACTAAGTATAAAAATAGTTTTAAGTTTTCATTACCAAAAATTCTAATCAGGACCACACAAACCTGCAATATTCCCTCTACCTTGAAAGTACAGATAGCTCTAAAATAAAATGTTTTTTATTACCCTTCATAAAGATGGAGCATCACCGTCTGTATTATGTCTCACTTTGTTTTTAACTATCAAGGCTTGGGACATAGCTTGGGACATGACATCAAAATACTATGTTTGTGTTGTTCTTTAGACTATCTCTATGCCAACAACAGTAAATAAAGCTAGGTAACCATTAGCTAGGTAAACATTAACCTTTCTCACCAGTGAGTTTGATGTCTGATCTCAAACATAGCTTGTTCCTAGCATAAGCAACTCATCTGATAGAAGTGTTGATCCAATCAATTATGTTGCTCAATTTTTCTCTATACATCCTCAACTGTGAGTCCCTTTTTACAAAGAGCATCAGCCATGGTAATGCTTGAGTTCAAGATAAATCTTTGAGCAAGCATCCAGATGATTTCACATGTCCTAACCAGTAGACATGACTAGAGCTGATGGGAGTTGTGATACAGTAACATGAAACACTCTGCCCCAGAGTGTGGTGGAGGCGCCTTCTTTGGAGGCTTTTAAAACAGAGGCTGGATGGTCATCTGTCGGGGTGCTTTGAAGGCGATTTTCCTGCTTTTTGGCAGGGGGTTGGATTGGATGGCCCACGAGGTGCCATTTTTTCATGACAACATCCCTGGTTTTGATCCAAAATTCTGGTTCTCTTTCAGTCAGGTTTAGTAGTAGGAATCTGGCTTTGCATTGTCTTTAAATTCTACAGAGCTGATCTTGAAGTTCAAGTTTGACTCAGTGATGGACTTAATATTATTGGCTTTAGTCTAAATTGTTCATTTTGAATTTATTCTGTTGTAGACACATTCTTTAGGCAATGTGGAAGTCAGACTATATAATTGGAAGCAGAATATGGAGAAGTTCCGTCCTTTCTGGAAAAAAAGAAGATTGTGGCACAGATCATAAACTGCTGATATCAAAAATTAGAGTAAAGGAGGCACTGACACAGCCGGATTCTTGGGATACAAACGCCGTTGAGGCGGAGGAGTGTGGCCAGGAATCGCAGGAAGACCGTGTTGGAGGGAGTCCCTGCCAGGAGGGATTGCCTGAGCTTGAGTCCTGCTGCGATGATGAAGACTCTGACATAGAACAAGATCTACCTGTTGAGGCCCAGCCTACCTGTAGTAACAAACTCATTAATTACATCCTGGGGGGCGCTTGTAGTGAGGAGGAGGAGGAAGAAGTAGATTGGGATAGCAGGGAGGAGGAGGAATAAGAAGATGATGGGTTTGATAGTGAAGGATCCCTCCCAGATTCCGATATCTCCAGCCAGGATGGGGAAAGCCTTCACTTGTGGAACTCTTTCTGTAGCTTGGATCCTTACGACCTTGGAAACTTTACTGCCCCTATTCAGATGAGTGCACCAGAAACTAGGCCTTTCTCTGAGCTGCCTGAGGTAGAAATGGGTGCAGATGACTCTTCCTCGTGGACAGAAAATTCTTGTGAGGACGAGGAATGGGACTGCGATGACAGTATAGACAAATCGGCTAATTTGAAATTGTGGAACTCGTGTAACCTGGGAGATCCCCATAACCCTCTCAATTTCACATCCCAATTTCAGTATGTGGAAATGAAAGTAAGATGTGACTTGAAAGGGCTACCAGGCTCTCAAAGTAGCATCTTGTTCAGCTGTCAGGTCCATTTGCTTAATAAGAGCAATTCTGAAGCTACAGAGACTGGGAAGTGTGATATTATTTCTAGAGAAAAGTCTTAAGAGGAAGAAAAAAGTGACTTTCCTTGAAGAAGTTGTTGAGTATTATATAAGTAGTGAGGAAGATCGTAAAAGACCCTGGGAAGAACTTGCATGGGATTGGTGCCGATTCCTTAAAAGAATTCAGCAAACTGAAAATGTTATTGTTATTGCTTAACAATGGAGCACAGGCAGCAAATATTTCCTAGCACCTTAATCTATCTATCTATCTATCTATCTATCTATCTATCTATCTATCTATCTATCTATCTATCTAAATGCTCCGTGCATAATGAGTTTCTTAAAAACAAAAGAACCAATAAACGAAATAACACCAAATTTGGCAACAAAATGTCTCACTATCACTCAAAAATTATGATTTTGTCATTTGGGAGTTGTAGTTGCTGGGATTTATAGTTCACCTACAATC